ATCTGCCAGGGAGCGTGCTGGCCCCCCCCCCCACCCTGTGCCCCCTTGGCTCGGTGACTGGTTCCTCCTGGGTTTGAGGGAGCACCCAGGGTCCCCCCCATGGCTGATCACCAAGCTAGGGGGGATGTGGGGGGAGCTCCCCACGCACTCAGTGGCAGACCTGGAAGTGGACCAGAAGTAATTCCAGTCCACTTCTGGGTTCACCACCGAGCATGCAGGGGGCCCCTCACGCTCCTCTGGGACACTACATCTGCCCCATCATCACAGTGTTCACAAACCTTGCCTGGTACCTCAAGGTATGTAGGAAAAAGATTTAAAGTTGTGTATATGGTTGAATCGCTGATTCTCCAAATCAGCATCGAATCTTCAGATTTGGATTCAGCCAAATCCAATTGGGACAGTGATCCAACTCAATGAACTGAATCAGTGATCCATATCAATTAATTGAATCATGATCAGCTATGGGAGTAAGGAGGAAGTTAAAATATATTCAGTGTAGTGGCCCACCATGACTTAAAAATGAGTTGGTGCCGAGACGGACTGAGCACAATGAACACTGTCATGTATCTTATTCAGATGGACTACACTAGTTTTGTGATAAGTTCCCATCAGTCTATTTGCCCAATATGGGCTATGTGTTTTATAATTATGCTCTGTGTTGACTGCATTCAATCAACTTCATAGTTGGATTCCATTACTGAACACATGATGCTTCTGGCAGCAGTTTATTGACAGGCAATGTATATAATGGACTTCCTTGTATGTGAATGTAAGAAGAGGAAATTTTTCTCCCATGCTGACTGGGGGGAAAAAACTCATCTTGGCTAGGGACAGACATTCAAAAAGTCTGAATTGATTCAATCTTTGCAGGTTAGTCTACCCTGGCTAGGCTAAATCTGTTTTTAACTGCACAGACATTCAAGACATGCAGGCATAGGCCTGCAGTGGCTCAGGCTAGAAGCCGGCGGGGGGGGGGCACTAGAGCAGCCCTCTCTTTCCTTCCACAGTATTGAGCAGAGGGGGGCATGGCCAGGCCCTGGCAGGATGTTCTGGTTATGGAGGGGTTCCCCCCCCCACACCCGAAGCAGCCCAGAAGGGAATTGATAACACAGTGTTTATCACCCCTAACTCAGTGTTTATCACCCCATTAAGAAAATAACAGGGACATTACCAGCTACGTGTTGATTCTGCCTTTGTCCCATCTGCCACAGCATGGACTGTAGCCAGCATGTGGTCTGCTAGCTAATATATAGACATCTCACAGCAAGGCAGAGGGGAGGGGAGAATTCCTGCTTAGCACGGAGTGGTGATGGGGAAGGGGAGTGGGGAGGGTGGGGCAGGCTGATGTCAGTACCCCTCCACCCCCGCCCAGCCGGCTGCGGGAAAGTTTGCAAGGAAGGGGAAAGAGCCATGGGAGGGGAGGGGAGGGCAGGGATACGGAGGGAGCCGAGCCGGGCCCAGGATCGGGAGCCCACGGGCAAATGTGGCAGCATGGGGAGCTTGCATGCCACCATCATCTATATACTCTGTGTTGCCGGTGGGTGCTGCTTTCCCATGCTAAAGTATCCCCGCTTCTCTGCGCCACTGGCTTCATGTTTGGCCGGCTGTCAGCACCCCCTCCCCCGGTGCACAGTGCAGAGAGCTCACACGCAGTGGCTGGCCCCCCCCCCCACAATACACTCAGCACCGGGGGTGTGCACCAGGGGTGCTGATGGCTGGCCACACGCAAAGCCAGCGGCACAGAGAAGCGGGGATACTTGGGCATAGGAAAGCAGTGTGCGGCACATGGCAGTGGGCACGGAGTGATGGATGGTGGCAGCCTTGACCCCCCCACCACCTTTTTTCAGGTACCCTCACTTCTCTGCACTCTGGCTTCCCATCCGGCTGGCCATCAACAATCCCGCCCTTCCCATGTCAGCCAGATGCAAAGCCGCTGGCAGAGAATAGTGGGGCTACTTGGGTGTGGGGAAGTGGCATGTGGTGGCAATGTGGAGTGATGGATGGTGGTGGTGGCCCTGCCCCCTGCACTGCCACTTCCCAAGTACCCCTGCTTCTCTGGGCCACTCCCAAGTACCCCCAGGGGTATGCGTACCCCTGGTTGACAACCCTTGCTCTAGGGAATTCAAGCCCCACAAAAACTCAGGCACGTGTTAAATCAAAAAACACGTGCTTAAGTATTGTCCTGAAGTGGTGCTTTCCTGAACCTTGACAACATTATCTAGCATTAAATCCCAGAAAAGCAGGTGTGACTTATGAGCCTGGTCTTGCTGTTCATCTTGTACTTTTACTGTAGAGGTTTTAATTGGGAAAGGATATGTGGATTAAATATGCCTACCACTAAGAAAAAAAATACAGGTAGGAATGAAAAATAAGAGATACTCACATCGGAGTTGAAACGAAGCTGACAGACATTACAGGAAATCACTTGTTTCTTCTTTGGGGGAATGGACACTCCAAACGTGTGGTTTATGACTGCTTTTTGCACAGGATCCATCTGTAGAGCAAATAATAAAATATTTCATAGAACAGTAAAAAGGATGGGAGAGGCTCAAAATAACACTTTCCTCCTGGAAATTCCTCTTTTCCAATAAACAAGAGGGAACTGTATTTTAAAAAACTCCTAAAGGAAATGATTAGATTTAATTTGGGTTAGAGAATTTGTAGCATGCCAGGCTTGCAAAAAAGGAGGTTCAGAAGCTGTTTCACCTACTAGACCACAGCATATGCTCCACTCCTTGAGAACACTGCTGCTGTAATCCAGAGGTAGGAAACCCATAAAATGTAACATTTGCTTCTTCAACAGGCATTAAAACCATCACTATTAGAAACAAAGCACTAACATTTGTTTTTTCTCTTTCTTTCTAGGGAAAAATATCAACATTCCTGAAAAACAAGGGGAAGATAAGAGACTCAGGTTTTTTTTAATGACTGTAAACTCAAGAAATGAATTATGTGGTACATTTAGACTGTGATCATTGCTAAACTGTCTTTTAAAGTTAAAGATAAGAATCGTGGGTTGTTCGAAGAAAGAAAGAAATGTTAAAGCTATTTTTCCCACTTTGAAGAGAGGACTTATATTCCTTGATTGTATATTCCTGTTGCTCACCCTTCAGTAGCTTGCTGGCTATGGAAAATAGGCTACCCAAAAAATAACAGTTACTAAAGAAATCCCATTTGTTATAACACTCCACAGGGCCTTTTCTCAAGCCCAGTTCTGAGGGATGAGAAAAGGCATTGCAAGTGGCAATGGGTAGGTAGCAGCTTCTCATTCACTTCATTCACTCACAAATTAAGTTGAAAAAAATCTCTCATGGAGGCATCTTTGTGAGAGGAGATTTTTTACTCCCTGGCCTGGGAAAACTGACTCATATTCCCCAAAGATTTCCAAAATAGAACTGATGTGTGGTACAAACCAAGAGAATATTCAAGTTATGAATACTATGTAGGGAAGTGTTTGCAACAGTTAAAGGTATAGCATTCACCATACTTGAGAAAATGCCTTAATGCTTAGGTGATCTGACAAACTTAAAACTCAAACCAAAAGACAACCAGCTATGAGAAGAAAATTCTCAGGAATTGGGAACTAATGAAATCTCTTCTAGTGGCTACCAATACCTAGTCAATCTCCTTCATTAACTCAGAAAAACTTGGGATTCCAGAAAGCTCCACCAGTACCTCTTCAAATTCTTGATGAATTGAGGGGAAAGAGCATATGATATTTAGCACCCAGAGGCTCCAATACAGATCAAAATAAACCACCTTGTGCAAACAATTGAAAATTATATATCTAACAACTATGCATGTTTAGTTATGATTTTTATTTATTTAAGACATGGATTCTGGAATGAATGAAGGAGAAAATGGTTATCTACAATGAATGAAGAGTGTGTTATTTCTAACCCTGTTTGTCTTATCAGCACAGGAGATTCAATTTAGTAGAAGGTTATATCTTTTCTACAGGCTATTTTGCAGTCTTAACCAGGGTGCTTCATGGTAAGGTATGACTTGGAGCCAAATCTAGTTCTGTGGACCAGGATGATGCTAAACATGTATGTGGCTAAAATTAATTTACTAATAAGGAGGAGGGAGGGTTTGAATGAATGACTCTTTAGACAAGGCTTTTGCAGTGCTTTAGCTTATTTCAGATTTTCTGTAGCTGAAGGAAAATATCTTAATTTTTCCTTACTGAATCTTTAATGGTTCTGGATAAAGAAATTAAGGAAGATTATCATTGTAGAAAGCTGTACATGCATGCACACATGGGCATGCACACACAGACACAAACAAATGAAACAGAAGCATGTAGTTTAGCTGTCTATACAAGAGAATATGAATCTTTCCTTTAACCTTGAAAGTGAAGAGTAACTTCCAAGGTTAAATAAAAGATTCATATCCTTTTGAATGTCTAGGGGAATATCTGCAGGGGTTCCCCCTTCCTTTTAATTGAAATGTAAGGTCTTGTAAACCTCTCAGTTAATATTTATTATTTTTGTAAATTTGGTTTAATTGTACAGGCTTTTGACATTAGATTCTGTCAGGTGACAGACTTAAAAAGTCATGCTAGGAAAGATAATTAAAAAACAGAAACAGTTGGACTAGAATAGATTGCTTTATTCAAATGAAGACCAACATGAAAACATTACAAATTAAGCTTGAATAAGAAATGGAAAAACCCTTCCAATGTTTCTAGAATATAATGCCAATGCTTAAAGGCAACACAAGAAAAACAAGATGAGAAATAAATTCGCCAAATTAAATAGCAGTTAGCAAAACAACAATTCCTGTTTCTGCACTGTATCACTCAGTTCCTCATTTAACATAAAAAACTTACTGTAACAGAATGATAATTTAAAATACAAGTTACTGAATTTCTGTCTACAAGCTTTCTGATCATGCAATATGCAATAATATTCTAGCAGAACTTCAATATCACAATACTACATTTAGTATATGCCCCTGCATAAAATTTGTTAGCAAACCATTGAGATTTAAATATTTGACCTGAAATATTTCTGTGCTTTCAAGGCATTATTAGCAGGCATTATTTTTACACAAAGTTATTCTTTCACTTTTTAAATTAAACTGCTAATTGCTCAATTTGCTAGTCTAGAACAAAACAGAATAACGATAAAAAGTACCTCAACCATTTGAAGTGTCTGAGATCAGGAAAAAGGAGCAGCCAAAGAAACACTACTGTCTGCAGAACCCTTGTAAAAAGAAACCATCAGTGATTCTCCTGTGTGCTCTTGATGATAATCCACAGCATTAACTTTAAGCAATTGGTAGTTCAAGAAATACAATGCAGACTATGCAGAAAGTCTCAGTTTCAAACAGATGTAGCAGCACAAGGACAAACTCTCTCAAACAATACAGCACACAGTGCCTCCAGAGGCTGCAGCTGAAGATTCCCAGAGGAACAGCTGATCTTTCCCGAACAGAAGAACTGAATGCAGTCTCCTCATGATTAGAATTCAAGAAGGTGCAACATTAACAATTAATAGGTTTTAAATATGTCAGAAACTAGGGTGGATTACAGCATGTTTGAATAATAAAATAGTACCTGTCTGCTAGACAATTAATGCTGTGGAGTAAACTGATCTCTGACCACTAAATAAAATTAAATATATATATTGTCATGAAAGAAATGGGTTTGTTTGCTGATTTGCGTTTGTAACTCAGTGAAGCTCTGTAGACCTTCTGTAAAGTAAAATAACCACAGAAGCTAAACATATGCTACATGTAACATCTGTTACAAATACAAATGAAAATATAAAATGTAGGCCTTCTTTTAACTATATCTTAGCTATATGCATAATAAATAAACAAAACATTTTTTCAATGTTAGATGGCTGATAGCGATACTGAAGCTTAACAACATTTTCAAATTTATTCTGTTATTGCAAATGGATTAAATGCAGACTTAACCAGACGCCATACCAAACTCTCACAGGATCAATCCTTATGTGACATGGCCTACTGAAAGCATCTAAACTTGGGAGCAAAACTTACTAGAATTTTAAGGAGACTGTAACACTGGTTTCTTATTTTTTCCACTGTATCTCCAAACCCTACTGTCATAAAATAGGACTTCTGATTTTATGGTATTTTGGCAATAATCACAAATTGCAAACAGCCTGGAATCCAATATATGCAACTCAGAAGGGTGAAAACCTGAGTTAATCTAGCCAAAACATGAACGAACCTCTTTTTGCAGGAAAACTAAGTATTCTGAACTTAGTTTAGCTATCAAATCCTGTGGGAACAGCTGTTTATGATATTTCAAACCTAGCCTGATCTTACTGGTTTCAACTTTCTTGCAGTAAGTACTGGTAGTTCTGAAGCTTGGATAAGAATCTGGATGCTTATCTGAATGGAAACTTCCGTTGTTTGCCTGTTACTAATGAGGTATTGGAGATAAGGCAAATCTGACAGACATCTGGGCTTGCTGAAAAACATTAAAATAGAGCGATATCTGCAATTTTTCTAGTGACTAGTGTTGGAGCTAACCTTGTCTTTGAACACTTTCTTTTAATCCCCATCTATGTCTGCAAACCTGTCCATCCCTACATGTGTAACACAGCCATGATCACCACTGCCCCTACTTGCCCTGAGGTGAAAACTGCACTCACGTCCTTTATCCTCTCACCTAAATGATTCAACTTTTTGCCTCTCCAAATCCCAACTCTTCCTGCCTTCATCAATATTGATTACTCACTTGCAAAACAGTGTGACTCACAGGAATAAAGACCAAGTCTATGGGCAGCAAGGGTAGTGGGACAACCTCTGGGAAAGGTCGGATCTATTCCTACAGCACTTTATACCAACACGAAGTGAGTCCCCCGTTGGGCACAGAGAAGCCTGGATCAAGCTGAACAAGCTAAGATTTGGATATGGATGCTTCAAAACAACACTTCATAACATGAACATCTTGGTCAGCCCCCTGTGTAAATGTGGCATCCAACAAATAGCACGGCGCTTGGTCAAAAGCTGCAATCTTTACAAATGCCCAGAGGGAGCAGATGGAATCTGCACATGGAGCAATAATACCAGACAGCGACTCATAGCTTTGAAAGCTGATATCTGATGCCATAGGAAAGAAGAAATTTCAATAATGCCATCTAGTTTTTAAACCTCCTATATTTGTATTTGCTGTACATTAGGATAGAGACCTTCAGCCAAATACAGAGTTATGTTATATACAAGTGTTTGTGAACTGTGGCTTTGTACAGACACTACAGCTAGAAGTTTGGGGGTTAGATCAGATTAAAAATGGTCCCTCAGTCTAACTCAGTAATTAGATAGATGCCAGGAGCCTGATCTAAGGTACACTGGGGTAGAGGGAGGGGTGGGATGGGGAATCAGGAGGCTATTGGGGTCTGTGGGGGGGATTGAGGGAATGAGTGGGGTCCACGGGGGGGGGGAGTTGACAGGATTGGGGGGTTGGTAGGATCTACTGGGGAGCTTAGGAGGATCAGTGGGGCTACTGGGGTCCAT